GTAGCAAAGGCCTGAAAGGGAAAGCTGGGAGAACAATAAGGGAATTAGGAAAGCACTTTAAATCATTTCCTTAGTTGAATTCAGATGAGCTCTTCTAAAGAACGGTAGTGACTAGGCCAGGCCCAGCTGACAGACCAATTTTAATTGAAGCATAAAAGTTTTTGGAAATCCTTGAGAGTGGAAGCATAGATCCAGTTACATTTAATTTCCATCTTGGATCCTATTTCAATTGTGAACTCCCTGACCCATTTACTCTTTTTCTCAGAGTGGGTCTCCGGGCAGGGAAGAGTATATTACAAAATGGTAGAACCACCATATTCCCCATATTAGAGTCAATTCTAGAAACAGTGGTTAAATATTGCTAGGTTGTCATCACAGTTGTTGCTTCAAATATGTATTGATTCACAGAATTTTAAACATAATTTAAAAATAAATTTTTATAATTTTAGAATAGTTTTTCTCTTCTGACAAGAACAGTTTTCCTACACAGCAATCCAGAGTCTTGGAAGAATCCTTTACAGTCATCTAATTTAATATCTCAGTGGATGCTTGTGTCTCTCATATCTAGTGATTAGCCAGAAGCTCCTTAAGTGAAGGGCTTTTTCTTTCTCCCAAAGCAGTCCATCCCCATCTTGTTGCCACACAGAACAAAATGGCTGCTGCTTCCACATGTCATTACTTAATACACTATGAACTTCTATCATGTCCTCTTTGGGTCTTCCTCTTTGAGCATTTGTTGTTGTTTGCTGTTATGTGCCGTCAAGTCGGACTCGACTCAAAGCGACTCCTCCTTGGGTTTCCAAAGCAGTATCACTACAGAAGTAGATTGCCCAATCTTCCTTCCGAGGAGTGGCTGATGGGTTTGAACCGCGAGCCTTCTGGTTAGCAGTCAAGTGCCTTAGGCACTACGCTACCAGAGCTTCCTTTAGAGCATAAACATTCTCAATAAGTTTGTTTGTCTGGTCATTCAGATCATCAGCTATCTATTGAACAGTACTATGTGCTGCAGAGAGCACCAAAGAAAAAAGATTAATATTTGTACAATACCTGCTTTTCAGAGCTTAGTTTGAAGGGAAGATAAATAGATAACTACAAAATAACATAGTAAGGAATGTTTCTGTGTAGTGTGTTACTCCAGTTGAGCTTGATATCCCCCATGCCCAGGTCCCAAGCCCACAGGGCCAGTAGTTCAACCCTCATGGAGGTTGGCTGTAGCTAAGAAGTTATCACAACTTTGCTGTTCTGTTTATATGAATATTCCTTTCTTTTTAAATGAACATTCTTACAGTACATAGAAATACATATGTAGAAATATTGTCTGCTAACCTTATATATGGTCATGGATATATTTCCTTTTGCCTAGACATACCTGATCATTCACCCTATCTACCTATGTATGTAATTATTCCTGGATGTAGTTATTCCCCATGATGAGAGTATAATCACCTCCATGGTGGAATCTGCTGTGAGCAGCTAAGTAGTTGCCTTTGAGGGTGGCCTGCTTCCAGTACATAATGAGAAGCTTTGAGGAAGGTCTCTAGCTTTTGGCATATCTGGAACTTGAATTAAGCCTTCATGTCAGTGGGCTGCCCTGTTTCCTGCCAATCTTGGAAGTGTTCCTGGACTTGAACCCATGGTCTCCCATGCTGCCTGTTTATCTTGGGATTGTCTCTTCTACTTGGTGACCTTGGGTTTGTCAGCCTCAGCATCCAGCAGCTGCATGAGTTATGAAAGGCCTCCAAATCCAGTGGGTGTGGAATAAAAGGCAAAGCTAAAGCCCCAGGTAGAGGGGCCTTCACCTAGACCATAGAGCTAGCACTCTAAATTAGGATTTCTATCCTACTAAACTGTAAGAGAATAAATTCCTGTTTGTTAAAGCCATTCACTTGTGTTGTGTGTGTTGTAGCAGCACTGGGAAACCAAGACAATACCTATCTTCCTATTCTTCCTTTCCAATACTTCTGCATCTTAGGAGGACTGTTAAAATACATGAATGCTGTCTCAGTGGCCACATACATAACAATACAAGTGAGGTTTTATAATGAAAATGTACTGACTACCAGGTATAAGACTCTCACTGCCTTTTCTGCTATGATTTGAGTTTTAAGGAAGAAATTGTCAGGTTTTAATAATCCATAAGCTTAAAGTCAGTCACATAGGAGATACTCAGCCCATACAAATATAGTCATCTGGTGTCAACAGGTACTTTTAAAACCAAGAATGACTTGACATACACTCTGCTTTCATCAACTCATAAGGTCAGGCTCATCTCATCCAATTCTCCATGTTTTCTTTGTCCTGGCTTTATTGTTCCTTGGACCTGCTATATTCTTTCTCACTTGAGAGATTTTATATATTTTCTTTCTTCTTTTTGGAAAATTCTGTCCTCCTCTTGGACTTCTACCCTGATTCCCTTTCAAGTAATCTATCTGCTATCCATCCTTCAAGAAAAGCCCCTATGTTGGATTCTTCTGTTAGCTGTCCCTTGTGTTAGGGGAAGAAAGACCCCACATTCAAACAGGTTCAGTAGAGACATTTTATTAAACCTTAGGACAATGACAAACCCATCATGCAGGATAAGGGAAACCTTCAGCATGTACACAGTACAGAAAGCTGAATTGAGCCTGCTTAGTCATGGCCCTAGGGCTATTTATGCCCTATTGAAAACAAAGGAAATCATGAGAAAATCATGAGTGGTGGCAGATCAATTCGTCATTGTCATAGGCGGGACTATAGAAGGGAAAAGATGTGTACATAATTGAAGAATGAAAGGGTTATTGAATTTGCTCTGAGGCTTGACCTTCTGGCTACATGGTAGTCCAGATATGACTTATGACTGTATGGCCCTTAGTTATAGCCACAAGACAGTTCTGCCTTTAAATTAGATTAAGGACCAAATGAAAAAACCAAACCCACTGTCATTGAATCAATTCTGACTCATAGCGACCCCCACTGGGTTTCCAAAGTGATAAATCTTTATGAAAGTAGATTGCCTCATCTTCCTCCTATTGAAGAGCTGGTGGGTTTGAACTGCTGACTTTTTGGTTAGCAGCCAAATGCCTTACCAATTATGCCCCCAGAGCACAATTTCCCTAGTTCCTTGTCTGAGCATAATCTACTTTCAACCACACTCTTCCTGAGGGTAAACTGCCCCACCCTAAGTTTGTCTCCAACTCATCTATGCATAGCCATGTTGTTGTTGTTATTGCCATCAAGTCGGACCCAACTCACAGAGACCCTTCCTTGGGTTTCCAAGACAGTGTCACTATGGAAGTAGATTGCCCCATCTTCCTTCGGAGGAGTGGCTGGTGGGTTTGAACTGCCAACCTTCTGGTTAGCAGTCAGGTGCCTTCGGCATTATGCTACCAGAGTTCCCAATGCATAGCCATATTGCTAGTTTAATGGTAAGAAGGAACTCTTCTGGCATTTGAATCTCAAAATGGAGTTAGGCCTTCCACTGTAGACTGAAGCCTTCCGCAACCCAAGTGTTTTAGAATTTAAGCTCTAATACATCCTTAATTCTGTACTTACCCCTCATAAACTGTAGCCCTGAGATTCAGTACAGTACCAGATACAGGATGTGTGTTCAATAACACTAAATAAATTGATGATTATGTGACTGCTAGAAAGTAAGGTCTCTGTACAAGGAACTTTGAAATTTTTCAAAGAACAAACAATTAGCAATGTCAGAAGCATAAGGACATGAGACTTTACATGGCTAAATTATTAATTTCAACCTTTCAGCATAAATGTACAGTTGTAAAAACAACCCTGTGGAATTTAGAGTTTTATTAATTCAGTCAATAAAAATTGCTAACAGTACCTTGACATTTGCAGTGGTGTAACTTGTCAGATTATAGCTGATCTTATCTTGACATTGAACTTTTCTGACTAATTGAGTTCTCTAATTAATTTTTCTAGATTAAACATTAAGTTATTAGTTCTCATCTCTTTTTCCTGAGCTTGCTCAGTGGTCACAAATCTACTAAGCTTTATTTGCTATAAGAATACATAGAGAAAGTAAATGCTCAATGACAAGAGAGTAGTTAAATGAAGGCATCTGACCTTGATGAAATTTACTTAGCCTTTTTAAAGCAATTATAAAGTCTATTTAGTTGTATGATAAGAGTTTAAAATATAATATGAATTGAAAAAAAATATCAAGATGTACTATGAGAACAACATAGTTATGGAGTTGGAGATTAAAAAGGAATGTGTAAACAAACACTTGGTTTTTTTAAGTGAGCTGTTTTTGTAAAATTTGGAAGGACTTTCAATTATACTTTGTGCACAAATTTTTGAAGGGTATATGTGCAGTGTATGTCAATTACTGCAATCTGCAGGAGAAGTATAAGAGTTTGATTAGAATATAAACTACTCAGATTTATATGTTGCAGCCATATAACACACCTGGTTTATAGCTATTGCAAATTAGAGTCTGTTAATTGTTAGAAAGTATCTCATAAGTGTTATGACTGTAGAAGAGGGCCCTACCTTTTGAAGTTAAAATTCATTATTACTTAGAAACACATTTATTTTAGGGGTGTGCAACATTAGAACAATACCAGAAATAATAAAATGAAAACACTTAACTTCTCTACTTTATCAAATCTAGTATGTGCAGATAACTTGTTTTCTTCTATTTCTTTTTCATATGAATGTCTTATTTTTATAATTTTCACTCTAGCCCTTTTTTCATTTTTCATATTACATAATTTGTAAGTCCCCCCATACGCATACTTTATAATAATCCCTTTAATTGCCATATAAAGGAAGCATTCTTTACAAACAATAATGTCAGTCCTCTTGAATTCTTACAATTCAAGTTGAATGTTCTTCATGACCTTGTCTTTATGATGATAGTGCACTTTATAGGTTTGCATACAAGACTGCTATCACCTGATTTCCATTTGAGTAGTAAGATGATAACACAGAGTGCCAGGGGAACTAGGTTTTAAGTGACAGCCACATCATTTAATGTCTATTTATTGTTTCCACAGGGGAATTCTGGTCTGGGATTCAGTATTGCTGGTGGGACAGATAATCCCCACATTGGAGATGACCCTGGCATATTTATTACGAAGATTATACCAGGTGGTGCTGCAGCAGAGGATGGCAGACTCAGGTAAAGAGCTGAGATGTTAAGATTATTTGGAAAGTAAATCTGCTGTATCAGTGAGACACATTTGCACGTGTGGAGAATAATAATTCCTCAAAAGTTCTGTATTTGAAAAGAGAATGCTGCCAAAGCAAACTTTCTGTAATGACTTTGCAGATCTCTTGTTACTTACTAAATTTCTACCAATATTTAAAATGTGCTTGTTGATGACTACCATGCTCAGCACAGGGCTGAGCGTGGTGAGGAACAGATGCAGTTATGACTTCTGTTTTCATGGAGCCTGCAGTCTAGTTAGAAAGAAGAATCTGAACTGAAGAGCAAATAGTATAATGAAAAAAAATAATACACTATAAATAGCTTAGCAAATGCTAAGATGCTGTATATGTTCATGGATTAAGTAACAATTTGTAAGGGCTGTCTATAGGAGTTTGGAGAAAGCTGTAAAAGTCTGAGAAACTACTTCATAGCAGATTCTGGCCTGGGATTTAAATGGTGGTAAAGATTTCATGAACCCTACAAATCTGAGCCAAGACATAGATGGAGAAAGAGGGAAAAGGGAAACCAGCTCCATCTGGAATGAGAATGCATGATGAAGTTATACAGGCAGAGCTGAGTCAGATAATATTCAATTATAGTTGTAGCTTCCTGACCCAGGGATCTTGTCTTAAAAAGCCTCATAATGATATGGGGAAATGAGATTCACCTACATGGGACAATTAGTAAATCACATAAAATTCTATCAGAGATAGAAACACTAGCTAAACAGCATCATATACTAAAAAAAAATTAGAGGGAATATTTTTCTGGGGAAGAACAGTATGCCCTATTATCGTTTTAGTACCACAACTAGATTGTAGATCCTCTCAGGCCAAGCAGTAACTTATATAGAAATGGCTCAATAAATTCTTGTGAATGAATGAATGAGTTTCTGAATGAATAAAATGGGCAAGAGGAACTAGGGAAAATTAAGAGCAGGAGAGGAAGGAGATAGCACAAAGTCTTGTACATAAATGACCTCAGCTTGCATAGAACAGCATTGAGGAATGTGATCTAAGTGTCAGAAATGTAAGCTGCATAACCATTCCTCAGTCTGTTTTTTCATTAACCATAAATTAGCTAGTTTACTGTTTCCTTACAAAACACCCAAGGATACTCACTCCCTACACAATTGTTCTGATGCAATGATTTCTTTTGACAGCTGCATGTTTGCAACTTGTGGAGGAAAATTACAATTTTTTTTCAGGTACATCATCTGCTCCTATCAACAAGAAAAGAAAGAAATGAGTGATGCTCCCACAGGAAACACATGCTTTTTAAGAATAGAATTTCCAAGCTAAACTGACTGACTAAATAATTCCTAAGGAAAGAAATATTCATACTGCAGTGAAAAAGAGACTACATAGCTTTTTCAGTCATAATGGAGATAATGTTTGCTAATATTGCACTCTTGATAAGCTCTTTTGTAAAAGCTTACTTATGGAGTTGTTAGGGGAAAATTCAGAAATTAATGGGACAATTGTGACCTATCTAGATGTAGGGAACCTCTACTCCCTAGCCAAATTCTAGCTTTATGCTTGAGGTAGAATTGACTTTATGTTAGGAGCTTATGCCACTCTAAGTAGCATCTCTTAGAGTGCCACCTTTCTTTGCCTGTAAGCATGAGTGGCAACCTCACGCTTGTGAAAGAAAAAGGAAGTTCTGCCACACTGGCAGCTTTATTCAATAATTGTAAAAAAAAAAAATAATCGTAACGATCAGTAATAATTATTTGTTGTTGTTGTTGTTGTTATGTGCCGTGGAATCAGACCTGACTCATAGTGACCCCTCCTTGGGTTTCCGAGGAGGTATCACTACGGAAGTAGATTGCCCAACCTTCCTTCCAAGGAAGGGCTGGTGGATTTGAACCGCCAGTCTTCTGGTTAGCAGTCAAGTGCCTTAGCCACTTCGCTACCAGAGCTGCTAATAATAATTATTTACTATCTATTATGTGTGAGCATTGTGCATAGATAGATAGAGATAATAGGTGTAGAATTAGATATACATAATCTTCTATATAGTCACCCCTCCATATCTGCAGGTTCCACCTCCGCAGATTCAATTTACTGTGGATAGAAAATATTCAAGGGGAAAAAAATCAATTAAGTGGTCAAAGCAATTTCTCAAAGGTTAAGAGGAAGCATAAAGTACTATTTACATAGCATTTTGAGTGGATTAAGTATTATAAGTAACCTAAAATGATTTAAAGCATATGTGAGGATTTGTGTGAATTATATGCAAATTCTAGGACATTTTATATAAGGGACTTAAGCATGGATTTTGATATCCCCTGTAGATACCAAGGGATGACTGTACTTACAACAGCCATAAGAAGTAGCTATTTTAATAATAATATGGCTCAGAAAATTAAGTCTGAAGGAGTTTAAGAAGATCACTCAGCTAACCTTGAACACATTAAAAAAAAAAAATCCTGAATGTCACTTGAGAACTCTAAACTCTCAATGGTAGAATCCCTTCTACATCTTCTGGTCTCAGCTAACATGTCCCAAAGGTAGAAATTTCTCAACATTGAGGAACATCTCTGACCTTTAAAATATTTGCTGTTTTTCTATTAAACCACGATTATCTTTAATCTGACTTCTACCTCTAGTCTTTGTTCTGGCTTCCTAGAACCAGGGCTATGGCCTTAGAATATGTATGTGAATATTGCCTCCAATGAATTACATGTAAAACCCTGCACAGTGGCCCTAACTGGAGAAAAACATAAACCTACTCCACAGTACACATTACACGTTACAATACTCAGAACACATTATAGCCAGTTGCCTGTGAAAGATAGTGATTGGGTCTCCACTTCATTTTGATAGATCTTTGCTAATACTGCTGAGATTGTTGCCCCTCTACTGCTTCTTGCTGTGCACTTGAGTGGCTGGAGACTTCTAAGAGTTGAAGAATGACAATTGATTAAAAAATTCTCTCTAGACCAAGACCTATGTTTTACAGACGAGGAAGCTAAGGCTCAGAAAAGTGACTTATCCTGAGGCATAAATCATTTGGAGCTCTACTTCAACTAGAATCCAAGTATCCTGATTAAATAAAACATTTCAAAGTAGTATTAAAGGCAGTAGCACCCAAGCTCTGAGCCCATATAAAAGTCTTTTCTCACTGAAGTTACTCTAACTGTAACACCTACCTGCACTGCTTATTTTGGAGTCAGTTAAAGAAGAGATTGGCATCAAATTGACAGTTTTAACTAAGACGGTGCAAGGGTCAGTCCATGAGCTGGGGAAGCTATTGATGATTTAGCTAGAAAACCAAATCCAGAGGAGGATTCTTGTGAGTTTACCAATGATCCAAATGAAAGTACAGTACCTTTTTGAAAACCTAAAGAAACAGCAAGAAGACTTCCATGAGTGCATTAATGCCAGCAAAGGCTAGCTTTAAATGCAGATTTGGTTTACATAACATGTGTAAAACTGGAGATAAAAGCAGGGCTGATACTAAAGCTCCTGAAAAATTCAGGGGTGAAGTGGACAAGATATCAGAAGATGAAGAGTATCTACCAGCGCAGATTTTCAACATGGATGAAGCAGGCTTGTTTTAGAAAAGGATGCCAGAAAGACCCTATGTAAAGAGGCAAAGTAGATGCCTGGTTTCACTTGAAATCAAGCTCCTGCTTGAAGGAAATGCTGCTGGATTTAAAATAAAACCTTTCCTTGTTTGCCGTTCTGAAAATCACCAAGCATTCAAAAACACTGACAAAAAATAAGCTGCTGTGTACTACAGGAGTAACTCTAAGTCCTGGATGATGATTGTGTCATTCAGACTATCTTTCAAATTGTTTTATCCCAGAAGTTTGTGTCTATTGCCTTACAGAGCATTCCTTTCAAGATTCTGCTGCTATGTAATAATGCCCCAGGACATCTTTCTGACATAGATGATCTAAATCAAGATGTGAAACTGGTGTATCTACTACTCGGTACTTGATCCAGCCTATGGATCAAGGTGCATTTGCCACCTTCAAGGCATACTACCTATGAACTATATTTTCTGAGGCAATAGCTGCAAGAGATGGAGGTTTGGTGATATTAGATGATTTTTGGTGTTGTTGTTGTTGTTGTTGTT